ACATAGATAAGCAGAAGCCCGGGAAGAAAGGACAGGCTTCAGTTCCCTGGCATGTGAGGGAGAAAGCAGGCCTGGAACTGCACCTGACATTCAGTCTGCGTTGGACAGTACAGTGCTGCCCAGGTGCTAACAAAGGTGCCCAGGCTGTGGCCTAGGTCCCCAGACATCGCGTATCATGCTTTGGGGATATTATGTGTCCTATTCACAGCTACACCCCAATGTGCTGGCTCTCCTGGGCTCTGCATGGCTGTTCCTTGGGACCACCATGTGAGTAGAAGCACATCTCCACCATCATTTCACATCCAAGGGAGATCAGGTCCCCAAGGTGAGCAGGTCTATCCACAGGGGTAGAGCATGAGTCAGCGCAGAGCCACAGTTAGCACCGAGGACTCTGTGATCTAATTCAAAGAGAATTAAAAGCAGAGGCCTCGATCCACAGCCCACTGAGCCACGTGGCCTAGCAGGCTGAGAAATCAAAAGATTTCAGATCTCCTTCCACTCCAGAAAACAAGCAAGTGCTGCAGGCCACGCTCACCTGCTTTTAACTCGTAACTGCTGCACGGAGAGGCCTGGAAAGGGAGACCTGTTTAATGCATTCCTCTGAAATTAACCGGAGGAGCTGGCGACAGCTTGTAGGGAAGCTGGCAAGGCCTGAGTATTTATAGGAGCATTAGACAAATCGTAGAAACTGGAGAAAGAAGGCCTGCTCTGCAACATCTAGGAAGCGGCTGGAAGTGTTACTACAAAACCTAGCACCTTCCCCGGGGAGAAGATAAGAGCTCCTGAGTGGGCTGACAGAACAGCCTGAGGCTTAGAGCAGATTTTTACTTCTTTGGAAATAGAATAATAATTTTTGAAGACAGTCCCTATTCTGAAAATTCATTTTTAAGAGAAAAGACTAACCAAATAAATTAAACCTCTCCCCAGTTGCTTTAATTGCACCTCACCATATTCATGGTGTGGCCCGGGCTTTGCTTTATGGTGGTATGCACCGTGACAGGGCTTTCTGTACGAGGAATTCAGTGTTCTTTTGGATGGTTCAGCCATCAGCAGAGGATGGAGACTCAAGCATGGCAAGGAGAATTAGAGAGAGAGAGCTTCAATTCCTGGGCTTACATGTTGTAAACAAGCCTCGAAGCCCAGAGATCTTTCCATTCCACCCAGCACAATGTGCTGGCTGCGTCCAACACAGACACTCAGGGAGGGCCAGCTGGGTCCCAGCCTTTCATGCATTGAAATCCAGAGGCAGGACTTTCTCTAGGCTGCTAATCAAGCTGAGAGTAAGCACTCAGCATGATGTGTACAGCCCTGCCTGGTTACAAACCCAGGATTCCTCCTGAGTTGGGCAACACACCAGAGGCCTGCCTTGAGTGCCAAGGGGCATTAAGACAGGATGGTTGTAGCGAGTCCTTAAGGGATGAAGGATCGGAAGCCCAGCTCCTTCTGCATGGTGGTCGTGGGATAAGCTTCCACCTGGTCGTGCCGAGGAAGAACTCCAAACCACCTGGTACGGGTGCATTGCCTTTAATGGCATCTAGAAGCAACATCATGAGTAAAACAAGAGCGTGGGCCCAGATTCTCCTAGGTCACAGGACAAATGCAAAGAGAATAAAACAATGTGCCCAGAACCCTCTGAGCAGAGAGCCAGGAGCAGCTGGCCAGAAACAGGCATTCTGCTGATGCCACCCCTGTACCCAAGTTCTCCCTGCAGATAACTAGCAAGAGGGAGTAGGCACTGGAACCCTCCTCTGGAAAGATCCTGCAGTGGTCCCCGCTGCCTCCAGGGGGAGCTCTGTGTTTCTGTGGTATAGAGCAGGTGGGGGCAAGGAGAATACCACTGGCCAGAACAAAGCAGGCCTGGGCCACTAGGACCAGAACCCAGGTGGGACCTGCCTTCAGACTCTGCTCTTGTGCATTCATCTCCAGGTGTCACTTAGGCAGTGGCAGGGCCTTGCTGCAGGTGCTGGGAACAGAGAGAGGATAATGCTCTTCCCCAGGCAAGACCACTGCACAAAGGGAGATGGAGGTGAATAATATGGAAACAAATGTGATAATTCATCAAGGTTAATGCACGAAGGAATTTAGAAAGAACGGAGGATGGGGAGACCTGTAGGAAGACGGTCAGCCAGTGCAGAGGTTGTGTTTACCTGGGGACAGTGGGTCTGGGGGTGGCCAGCCATGCCAGGGGCCAGGAAAAGTTTTCCAGGTGGCAGAATGATCAGGTAGGAGGAGGCAAGGGGAAAGACAGTACCGCCCTACGGCGTATGCAAGCAGCAGATGGCAAAGACCAAAGTGTGGGTCACTGTTCCTCCACCAGGCAGCCCCCATCCCCCATCTGGACAACTCACTAACAGGAGGGAGGGCTACCAACACAGGAATCACAGTGCCCTGGAATGTCCAGGTCGTCCATCTGCCCACCAAGAGGTCAGGTGTGGCTTTCTTCTGGCCACTTGGTTCCTTATCACCACAAACACTTCTACTGTATGTCACCCAGAACTGACCAGACTTTTAGCTTTGTAGTACTGCCCTGTCCAGCCTGCTGTCTGCTTCAGACCCCTGGGGACCTAGTGTGCCCCCTACCAAGAGGAAAAGTCCCAGCAGTCAGCGCTGCACAGCAAGACACAGTGCCCGTGCTCAGCAGCCGTGGCACACCGCCCACTCTGCCGGGCTGCTGCTCCTCCCCCAGCAGATGCTCTGCAACCTGGAGGCTACGGGTGGAGGAGCAAGGGGCACAGCTCACCATCACCCCACTGACTCCCACTGCAGGCATGTCCCCGTGGGCACTCACAGGCTCTCAAGCCTACTACCAAAGTCGCTCTCCACCAACAAACCTGCTCCTGGTTGCAGCTTCCCAGGGCAGCCTACTGGGGGAGCAACCAGGAATTTACTCCACAGACAACGTCCGTGATTTTGTTAACAAGAACTCAGATTAGATTACTCTGTGATTACATGGTTCTGCGGTGTGATAAATTGGTTAATAACAGGATTCCCAATGTAGTTGCTTAATGGGAATTCAATGATTACAGGTACTGGGATTGCACTGTAAGCCTAGGAGGTGCTAGCATCTGCCCTACTCTAATAATGCAGAAGTTACCTGGGACAATTGAAGTGGTTGTCCTCACAGACTCAGTAAAAGACTCTTGTCTGCCTAGCTAAATGTCAAATTGAAGATCCTATTCTCATGAGCAAATCAGTAATCAGCAGATAAGTGAAAGATAAAAGAATATTTGAGTCACATTGTATAATGGAGGAAACTTTTGCAAACACTTGGTTTGGGTGGTGCATTGGGAAAGGGGGCAGTTACCACAATTCAGTGAATGATCTCCCCTGAAGGAATGAAATTGAAGTTTACAGAGAACAAGGGACTTAACCCAGCACCTGGGCAGAACCTTACGTTCTTTCTGTGGCACATCACAGAACTGCAGCTGGAATTCTGTACATGCAGTGTATGCTCAGGCTTGCACTTTCCACAGATGTCCCTAAAAGGGACTATACTTCTGGGTCATGTGCTCTAGGTTAACAAGGCTTGAGTTCGTGAGGATTTTTCCTAAGTTTTATAAACTGCAGCATACCTCAGAGGCCTTCAGAAGAGGGACGAATAAGTCTTGGTTTTAGGCTCAGGGGTGAACTAGCCCATAACGTTCACTGACAATTTTTTTTTTCAATTTTTAAGTAATATTATAGTCTTTGACAATAAGAAAAATGGAGTGCTGAATTTAAAACATAAAATGGCCCATTAGAAAGGGCTGGAACTTATTTTGAAAACTCCAGATAATACAGCTTTGCTGTTTTGTCTTTCCAAAATGTCAACATTTGGCTAGGATTAATGGTTCTCTAAATCAATAGGATTTCATGTTTATAAATGGCTTACGGTTCCACTGGTTATAAAACGTTATGAGCTCATGCATCCACATCACTACCAAGCTTTTACTGAAACCCACTGACGTTTGGTCTGGCATCCAGACCACACAAGCAAGGAAGACACAGCAGAATTCCCCTGAGCCTGGCGGGAGGCAGCACCCTTTTCAACCCCTAGGGGTGCAGGGAGGCAAGTGAGCGTGAGCAGAAAGGGAGGTCGTCATGGAAAAACAACATGTGGGCTGGGCCCCTGTTAGAAGTACCGTAGGAGATCTCATAATGCTCCCTCTCACAGACATGGGGGAGTGGAATCCAGACAAGATGACGGCATTCTTCAGAGAACTTTTGTAAGAAAAAACACATATTTTTAAAAATCATTTTAATCCCATCTTTCTAATACAAACATCACGCCTGGCTACATGTTGACCCACGATGGCTTCAGCGATGTCATTACAACTTGTGTTATTTTTACCTAACACTATCTATATTGCTTTCTGAAAACCTCTGTTTGATAACTACTGAGTAACGTTCGATGGTGTTGACTCGATAAACACACTGTGTTCCCCAGTGTTAGCCGGACCCTGTGGCTCTGAGGCGTTTCTCAGACAAATAAGATCTTGCCAGCAGAGTGTAAGCCAAGGTCATTTTATTTCACAATGCTTTTGGGTGAGATAAATAGGTGTTTCTGAGCCATGGCCAGCTGCTCAGCACCAGAGCTGACAGGCACCTGGGCTGCATGGATTAAGAGGACCTCTTCCTCCTGTCTTTGGTCACCTCTTACTCCAGGAAGCACAGGTGGACAGCATGTGGGACAATGAGGTCATTCGAGGGTCCCGCTTTTCATTCCAACAGATGTGATATATACTCTGACACCAACTGCGTATGTTAACAAAGCCTTAAAGGTTCACGCATGAAAACAAATACGTTACTTTCTGAAGAAAATTAGCCTATTTGAAATGATGTACAGCAATCTAGAGCTAAAAAGTAATATGGTCAATTGCTTAATATTAAGTCATAAAATTATATTACAGACAATATATGAGCCATCATTACCCAGGTAGAAGGTTGCCAAATTTCGCTGCCCTGATGGGGATTTTCGCAGAGGAGAATGGAGGGCTGAGTGCTTTGCTTTGTCTTTCTAGTGTGGAGCTGGACTTTAAGCAGCAGGAAGACAAGCTGCAGCCCGTGCTGAGGAAACTGCACCCTATCGAGGAAACTCAGGTCGCCCCTTCGCCTTACACTCAGGAGACGTACTCCGCAACGCCCAAGCAAAAATCCAAAACTGAGTCTAAAAAGCATGGAAGGTGGAAACTCTGGTTCCTTTAACACTGGTGGTATGAAGTCTCGAGGCTGTCTTTAAAACCCACTGGAGTTAAATCAGTCCTTTTCCAGAACGATTAGGATCGAGGGAACTGCGGTGCCAATCCACGAGCTCCCCGCTTCTCGCCCTGCGTACCAAAAAGGCCTTCGTCCCACCAGATAATTAACAGAGTAAGGTAATCAATGTCACACCTGGCTAGCTGTTCTTTGCAGTTCACGGATGTGGGATGTAAAACCTGAAATGAAACTTATGTACTCAACGATGATAAGTAAAAATTCTAACCCCCCAGATCTGCAAGGATTAGGTTACCAACCTGCACCATGGCAGGCTGTCACTCTGCACAGCGAAAACTCATAATTATTTTCCAGCCTTTACTTTATTTTTAAATAACGAGAAGAAAAAGCAAGCCTTATGTTTGCAGAGGACTTCATTTTTACGTTCCATCTTGCAAATAAGCAGGGGGCGAGTGCAATTTTCAGCACATCAAATTCCGGAGAAAGCACAATTTTTTCAAGTGGTCAGAGACCATGAATAATCTCTAAAATGTGACTCTATGTATATTTGCCTTCATGTGCTGTAGCGCTAAGCCAAGTGACCACATCTCAGTGTCACACTGACACCTCAAATTGAGCACCCTCTTCATCTCTAGACCTACGACATGTTTACTGCTCATTTTCCAAATGGCCAGCAGCCAGGAGTCCCCCAAAGTCAAGACATGCCTTTAATCATTGCAAGTTGACAGGGTCAGAGCTATTGGACACTCAGCTTTCTTAGATCTCGTTTTTAATCTTTTGGTACCCAAAGGCCAAACGATAAATTCTGGCAAGAATTTGAAAACACATATAGAGATACACAATGGATAACACAGTCACCAATAAATCACAGGCTCTCTGCCACGGCGGGAAGTGTTTTTGTGGATCAATCCTCAGAGACATTGCTCGCCCATAGAGCAGCCAGACATTTTATATAATTCGTTATGCTTTATAACAACCATGGAAGGTCTGACCATCTCAAAGAGAAACAGCGTGTTCCGTTTAGCTGCTACCAATGGACAAACTTAATATCACCTACATTTAACCTGTTAGTAAGTTGTACTAAACGACATACTTAGGGGAAAGCTGTGAATCAAATGTTTTTAGGTATTTTTTAAATCCACAGTAACACTCAGAGTTCTCTCTTGATTACACATTGCAATGTAAATCTTAGTTCCTTTATTTTTTCACTCATTTCTTTGCACCTTTGCAAGTATCTTTTTATAGAAAAAAAAATCCCCTAGTCTGTTAATGACTTTGTCTATCAATTTTTTGCTTTTCACAATAGGAAGTAGGGATCTTACTTTGCCTTTTTTTGTACAACTTAAATTTTGAATAGTTTGTGAACATACTGAAAAACCCAGTCTTCGAGTTTTTGTCCAGCAGTTTCATATCTAATCACGTGCCGGCGTGCACACCTCATTGATCAGATGCCAAACACAAAGTGGCTAGTGTTGGGAAAAGGATCGCAGCCTGCTTGGTTCACACCAGAGCTACTTCTTGCCATGCATTTTCCTCCTCACTCAACAGCAATTCTGTTTTAGTTTTAAGCGTCTGGTTCTATAAGGACCTAGCTATCAGCAATCAGATCTGGACTTGAAAAAGACGAAAGAAGAGTATTTGTGAAAACATTCTTTAGGGGTTACTCAAACAGTACTGCAGAGGTATACTTAATTTAACACACACCCCGGTTGTAGAAATATTGTATAAGGATTCAAATCCCTGAATAGCAGTAACAGAACTGAGAAATATTTTTTGTGCAAGAAGAGCGATAGGCAAGTTGTTCCTGTACCTTGAAGGAAGTGCAATTGTTTCATGTAGACTAAAACTTTAAAAACGTGTTTCATGTTTTTATACTGTTTTTAACTAAAGTTATAAAAATGTTTGCGACAAGTTCTCTCTCCTTCTGTTTTAAGAACCCTAGTGAGATTAGTGAATGGAAAGAAGAAAGGTGTCCGCAGCTTGCTAAACCAGCACTGCACACCTGACCCACCGAAAGGGCTTCCTGGAACAGGAGGTGTCCCCATGTCAAACCAGTTTAGACCAAAATCCTATGGTTAAAACTTTCAGAGTCAAAAAGGAAACTCTGTAGGTAAACTAATTCTTCCTGGAAAATGAAAGCACCTCCAAAACATTTGAAAATAACATTTTCAAAATCATTTCATGGTTTAATTGCGATGCATCACTGATGGATGGAGATCCTTCTCTTGACAGATTTAAGCAAAAACTTTGACACAAAACCAAGGTAACATGTCCCGTGCTCCCTCATATGTACATGTACATGGCATTACGTATAGAGATTAATTATTATACTTGTCATCAAGTTCTTTATTAATTTTTAAATAAAAAAAAAATCAAAGGTAATGTTTTGTGTGGCTATCAGACTTATTTCATAGCCTCAATAATTTGAGAAAATAAAAGTCATCTGAGAAAATAATAACAAAGGAAGGGTACTTGGGCTGAAAACCATTTCACCAGGACTTGGCAAAGCGGGATACTGTGGTGTGGCATGCTGCCTGCCCTGTGGGGGTGGGTGGGGCTCACACCTTGCCCAGCCATGCACTGGGCAGGAGCTTGGCTGCTGGTAAGACGGGAACTTTTCACAGTCTGCAGGACTCCGTGCAGGCTAATGCCAAGACGCCGTCACCTGAGGCCTAATTTCTGAAAAAACTCCAAGTAGATAACTAAACTCATTCATGACAAATCCTCAAATAGCCGGGTGTAGGCAGCTTCTCTTGCCCGTTTAACGAGCAGGTCCCCAGTCCCAGGGAATTGGCCAGCATCTTCCTTTCTTCTCTGGCTGCCCGCAGGTGGAAATGAGCACCCCTTCTGGGCTATGCCCCTTCCTGGCCTGGCATCCACGGGCAGACCACTGCTGTCTTGCCCGGACAACCTGTGGGGGCAAATGCACTGCCCAAGGTCTAGAGTCCCTGAGCGAGGACAGGGCACCACACACTTGGATGTGAGGCTCCTCCTACCAGCACAGGTTCCTCAGAGAAAGGAGGGGACAAATGCACAAGGGGACGGGCCACATGCACAAGGGGAAGGCAAGCCCAGTGCACTGACCCAGGGCAGTGCAGGGAACACCCAGCCCCTCTACATCAGCCACCAGCCACCTACCAGGCCACCCCAAAGCTCCTCCTGAATACATACTGAGATGCAGCAAGGACAGTCTGCCATGCTGGTGCCCAGGGTCACTCTACAACATGCCACTCAGTTGCAAGAAGCAAAAGGCCAGGACCTCTGCTTTTTAATCTTCAATCTCAGACTCCCACACCCAAGTCCCTCAGAGTATACATGAGGAAGGAAGCAAGGCAGGGGACACCTCACTAGCTCAGGGCAGGAGCAACCGGCAGGCTCTTCCTGAGCATCCTGCAAGATTGCTCAGCGGCGCCTGTGTGGATGGCAAAGTATGGCTGGACCATATGGCATCAAGGGTACTGTAGCCCCTGGCTCAGGATCGGCCCACAGAATAGGGAATAGGGACGGCCTCTGCAACCCCATTTCCCTGGAGGACCCCCATAGGCATGCCATGGCCCCAGGCACACGATCATTAATTACAACAAGACTCACCATCGAGTAAAGTGTTCTGATCTTTGTCAGTCACAGAAGAGAGTAAGAACTAGAAAGGAAGAATGGCCAAGAACTCCTCTGTATCATGCTGATAGTAACAGCATGGCATGTCAATAAAACCCACTACGGTGGACTGGTTCTTTGGGAGCATTTTTATCAGCAAGGAAAATGTGAATTGATGACTAATTGAGGCAGTTTCAAGGGTGTGATGTTGCCTAAAGATCAACCACAACCCAACCAATCAACATAGACTCTTTTATCTATAAAAGCTCTATCAATAGCACCTTTGGCGTGGGCTAAATGTGCAGCCAGCTCACTAACTGGACGTAAACATTTTACTATGTGATGCAAAGAACAGAAATAACATCCTGTTTAGTGAATTACCATAAACTAACCATGCTGGGGTGGGTGGCCTGCATTTGGTAGATAACAGGTGGAGTGAAAGCTACCGATTACCTCTTAACATCGCTCAATAATTAACTCAGGCAGGTCTGAATATGTATGAAATACAGAGCACGTTTTACCCACCAATGACTGGTTTTTATTTCCTCTGCTACAGTTAGTGACCAATCTTGAAAAAAATATCAAGGCCCCAAGAATACAAAAAAAGGCATGAAAAACTACTCTCTCAACACCAAATAAAAATGGACCTATAGTCTTTGCTGCTCACACAAACTCATGTGTCAGGGTGGCTTTCCGGGAGCCTTATGATTTGTAAGTAGATTTGCTGGCCAACTGTGTAATTAGAGACAGTCTGTGTGATACCTGTATATAAAAGCCCAGACACCATCCATTTGAAACATTTATAATGAATTTTTTTCTGTTGCAAACATAAGTTTAAAAAACAACATTTTTTGAAAGCACATTTATATTTACATTCCATGAGAATAAACATCTCAAAATCAACACTCATGCAGGGGATGTAACATCTTTATTGGAATGATTGGGGTAGGTCTCTTGGTTAAATAGGCACCATTCACTGGGAAACCAATGCAGCACCTTATTTTCCAGCTAAGAAAGCATGCCAGGTCCTTATAAAACACCCAGATTAAGTGAAAGCTCTGGGGTTTTATTAACAACAAACTGCCCACCCCATCCATACATCCACAGTAGAAGAAGCAGAAGTGTATCCATGACTTGAGGCCAGCGGTCAGGAGGCTCCTATGGTCCCAAACATAAGTCAAGGATCCATACAGAATTTTTCCTTCTCTACACATGCCTCTGTGAATTTTATGGATTTTCCAAAGCACCTTCCATTGAAAGAGGCCACATTTCCACTTTGGAGAATCAGTCCTTTTCAGCCTGCTGATTTGCATCTAGGCCAATGTGACAGTCCTTCCCACCCAGTGCATTTTACTCGTGAACAGGCAGTGAATCCCATCATGTGAAAGCAGCAGTACCTCCAAGCACAGGAGAAGGCTCATTCCAAGGCATCATTGCTTTCTCAGGTCTCATCCCAGTTAGTGCACAAATGCTCATTCCAGAAAGGACACTCTTGTATGGGGTGGCACCAGGTCACCACCAGCCAGGTGGCCTGCCTACCTACTTGCCACACAAGAGCATCTAACCCAAGCAAGGCCCTTGGCCCAGACCATACGTGCACACAAAGAATGGTGCTTGATGCCCAGAGCACAGATGGCCTCTCAAAGGAAGGAGGAATGTAAAACGTGAAATTAGACTTAATATAAACCCACATACTTCACTCAAATATGTCACGCAACCGAGTGGAGGAGGGCAGGTGAAACTGCTCCTCATCTGTGTGGCACTATGGCCACGCTGGTTTCAGGGCCTGTGTCCCCTCAGCATGTGGTCCACAGTTCCACATCTGCCAGGTGGACTTGTCTTGAGTGCTGTTTGTGTATAATACTTAGGATGGTGGATCCCCACAGCCCGTGAACTAAAACAAATGATGCGTAACTGACGGCAAAGTGGAGTTTTCATAAAACACGACATCACAGTCCCAGCTGCCTGGCCTCTGCAGTTGCAAGAAGCCCTGTACTGCAGATCACGGTGGCACGGTCATAGGCAGAGCCCCACACTTCTCCACTCCACATATAAACAAGCAGGGCAGTGTGAGCCCAACAGCATCACACCGTGCCCCACAGGGACAGAGGTCACGCTCATACCAGTACCGTTGACAATATCCAGGAGTAAGTCATCAGGGAGGCACGTCTAGCCAAAGATATTTTAATCACTTTGATTTTTTAAAAATCCATTTTCATCAGTTACTTAGAGTTTTTAAGCTGATTCAGTCTTATGATTTCCACTACATTTATGCATAAATGAGCAACACAGGAAGATTGAAATCTCCAAGGCACAATGGAACGGTACAGCTTATCCAAACAGATCTATAAACTATTTTCTCTTCCTTTTCCACCTTGGAAGGCCCACTGATTAAGTTTTTGTCCACTGTGTCAGGGATCTTTTTGTCCCTATCTTGCTTTAATCTAAATTCACAGAGCAACAACGGTGACATTAAGAAGCTAATGCATCCACCCTGGTCGGAGGCAAATGAAGAGGGCAAGGCTAACATGCTGAACTCAAAGGGGAAGGATTCCAATCCTGCTTCTCTGTTGACACCAGAAGGAGACTCAACCGCAGAAAGACCCTTCCCAACAATTTTAAATGGTGAAAGTCCTTCCTGAAATATCCTCACGTTGTCATGGCTCATTAAATAATTACAGCTTATTCAGAATATATCTTTTCGAGATTTGTTCCATGACAGCTTAGTTTTACAAAATAAATTCAAAAGAACTTTAGAAGTCTTTTTATAAATATTGGAGATGTTGGAATCGGGAGGGGCCTCCTGAAGAGCTCAATCCCCTTCCTGGTTCAGGAGATAGACTTCTTTTAGAGAAGGTGAGGGTTGTGGGGTGGGTCTGGGTCCCAGCCAACTACTGGCCAAGGGTGGGACCTTGGTGTCTCAGCTGCTTCTCAGAACATGCAAAGGTTCACCTTAAGAGCTCCTGAGAACACATGGTACCTCCAACCCGGGGCATCCCTGCCCTTCATTAGATGAGCAGGCAACTCCTAGACTGGCCGTATTACCACCAGAAGACCCCTAGGGCTTGATCCTATGGAAACTACTCAAGGTAGAAAAGAGAAGGGGGCTTATTTTCCTGGACAGCTGCCTCCTAACAAGGGCAGAGACCAGGGAACAATTCACTGTTCTCTCTGATGATGCTGAAATGGACCACACTCATCAGCACCCCCTGACTCAATCTCACAGCAGAGACTTGGAGAAAATTTTGGCATCAAACCCAGGCTCCACGCAAGTTCTTCCACCATAGCTGCAGGGCTCGGAACCATTTCTCTATGCACATGGGGGTATTTTCTGCAGTTGCCATATGTAGGATAAAGGCGAAAATTAAAAGAGAGTCTTCCCATTAGTTATGTGGTGCCCAGCACATCAATGAATGCTCAATATTTACTACTGTTGTTGTCATTGTTATCATTATGACTGAGAAAGGAGAAATTTCCCAAAGAAATCCAGAATCACAAGGTCTGGGAGGAAATGCCATGCTCTGCAAGCTGTTTTCTGCCTTTGTTCAAGATGTGAGCACAAATCACAAGCTCCCCACATTCCAAAGTACCCATCCAAACCCTCCCCACATTCCAAAGTACCCATCCAAACCCACCCTTCTCTCCCCAGTTTAACTTCTGGCCACAAGGCTATGACCAAGGGAACACACAGCTAGGATAATGTCCCTAGCCACAGCAATGGAGCTCAGAAGTGCAGTGCATGCATATGGTCCCAGGTTCCGACCAGAGGCAGTTCGGTGGCCTCCTAGCAGTGGCAAGACACTGTGT